TCCTAATGCAACCAAAAAAAAATATTTAGCAGGAAAATATTTTCGCTGTAGTATGGAAATATACTCTATGTTGTTGCAGCCATGCAGGTTATGAACACAAAAACAAACCTCTGATCTTACCTGTTGCCTAAATGTCAGCAGGTTTGAAATTGCTACCACTTTTTCCATTCCTTTTTCTTTGTTTACAGAAACCAACATGCAAATAACTCATACTGTACATAATCAGGTAGCAAAACTCTGTAATCTGTCTCCAGAAACCCAGCTGTTATCTCATTGATGCCGCCATCTTGCATCTTGGGCAGCATATACAAGATAAAGCCAGGCTGTCGGTTACAGTCTGCATATCAGCAGCAGCTCTGTCCGTCCTGTGACAGTCACTTGCTGCTGATTTCTGCATTGCAGCAGGCATAAGTCATCAGCCAAGTGGATTAGTTGGAGATGAGGGCTTTGCAACAATACACATGATATTTATTCTGCTTATCCTGAATGTTTTGAGGAATGCATTTCACTTTAACCAGATTGCTTCTACAATTAGATTACTACCGTTCTCACACACAATGTCCTTGGCCGTAATACAATTATTGTTCCAGGTGACAACTAGGAATGCACACCTGTGCCCATTCCTAGTTCTCAGACCCCATTGTCAGTACACAGTGTCAGGCCTCCAGTAGTGATTGGGAACCAATCAATGTGATCGCAATGAGGGTCAGTCATGGTGGTCACATGCAGGCTTGAGGTTCAGTCACACAGTAAACCTCTTCAGCCAGCTGATGGCATGGCAATGTACCTATGTTGAATACTTCCATTGTGCTATACAATCACAGTATATAAAAAAAGTTAAAAACACATTAAAATATTTGCCAGGCTATAATAAAACTGAAGGGAATTTATCACATTTGGAAGGGTATTTGGTCACATTAACTGACACATGTATCTAGGTTTAATTTGGTCTGGGCATCTTGGTTTTAGTGACCCATTAGCTGACCATACACCTATAGGTTTTCTGCAGATTTTCTATGGTCAGATGGAAAAAGTGCAACAGATTCCTCCATCTACGCTAAACTGTGTGGATGGAGGAATCTCCCACTGGGCCAAGCTTCAGTATCTTGCTTGTACGCCCCGCTGGCTCTCAAAACACCTGAACAATCTGATTGGATGCAGGCATTGTTCAGGTACTTTGAGAGCCAGCGGGGCCGACTAGCATTCTGCTATGACAGAATACCGGGCTGTTTTGCAATGGTAAAGCTCCTCTTCCACCATGTATAAGTGACATTTCATTTTAACATTTTATAGGGACTAAAAAAGCTCCTGTCACTCGACCAGCACTTACAGCGAGATGCTGCTATTTCTTCAGTAGTTATTGTAGCTGGCTAGAGAATTATTGTTTTAAGGAGTCATGGGCAAGCTGCTACACTGCAACTGCACAAAGTTGCAGTCTACAAAGGCATGCTGTGAATTAAAGGTCCCATGACACCCAGGTGGAAGCATATTATCCCCAAATAGCTGTCAGATTATTGTAGTCTGGCATGCAGACCATTTATTCCCCAGCTCAGCCAATTCTCCACCCAGTCACATGCGGGGGGGTTTCACTGATGCAATTAGCTCTATTTACAGATTGCCTGTTATTGAATGAACAACAGCGCTAGCCATATCAACTCGCTGCAGACCTGCCTTTCCCTTGCCAGACACCGTGCCAAGGTTATCGACTTACACAGGCTTGGATGTCTTCCAGCTGTTCAATTATAATGTCTCATAAGCAGCTATTTCGGGTTCCATTAGTTTATAAAAGTAATATGCTATTTTATCTGTGTGATTAGCACTTCATTTAGGCCAACTTAACAACCTGTCATCAGGCATCCCTCCTGCCTTTACCCCTGAGCTATCCTGCAGCCAGGTACATTGCATTTTGCCTAATACTTTACTGCCACAAGTACTGTTAGTGTTTTATTTTTTTATGGCAGTATCGCCAAATTATGTGTTTCCAGCCTATAGACATTTTTAGTAATTATTGTAAGTTTTACTGACAAAGACTTCTAGTTCATTTTATTTTTATGGAGGGGTTTGTGTAGGGGTTTGTAGGGTATCCTTCTGGTGAATATGCGTTTGTGAGATACTGCAGTCTGCAGTTAGCAAGCTTGCTGGTTGACTGCTGCAATCTGTGCTCACCTAGACATTTAATTGCTTGCATTCAGTTTGTGCAAACTGATAGACTTTGCAATGAGATGTGGGTAAGATTTTGCCACAGGCAGATGTCTCCCTGTCATGTTCTAAATAGGAGATGTTTAAATATACATATGTATATTTATCTTGCAAAAATGTAATACCTTACCAATTCTTAGATGTAGTGGCTGCATTAGTTTTCTTTTTGGCCTTTTTTCCCTTTATTTTCACCTGGTAATCAGACCAGCAAATTTGTTATTTCTCTTCCGTTCATTGAAGGACCCAGGAAACAGATCGTAGATCATGTACCGTAGGGTATATCGCCACTTGCAGGAGAAGGACGCTAGAAACAAAACCAAGACAGCTTAGGCCTGCTGCTGGCCAGCCCCTATGCTGTCTTGTTTTGTTTTGTGCCCTGCGTCTTTCTCCTGCAGGTGGCGATATACCCTACGGTACATGATCTACGATCTGTTCCCTGTGTCCTTCAATAAAAGGATTTTACGGTGAGTAAAAAAATATAGTATTTTTTCTACTTCCTTTACCGGGCCAAGCTGTCCAGCAGAACTGGCAGATAGAGGGTTGAGATTAACCATTTAACACGGACTGGGGTGCTTACTATGGTCAGCTTTTATTAATTTATGTAAAAGGGAAACAAATGTCACTATGACTGCTTGAAAAGTATTGGCTGGAGTTCAGATTTAATTTTTTAGTCTAGGCCATCTAACACTACCCCTTACAGGGTGACAATTCTGCTGTCCAAGGGGGATTCCATTGCTCTTGTGTAGAGCGGAGCCACCCTAAGACAGGAATTCTGTTACTGGCCAGATGACCAGGTAAAATTAAAGAAAAAAAAATGTTTAAAAAAAATGGAGCTACAAGTAAGGATTTGGTAAGCTACAATATGTTATATTTTTGTTTTTGGGTTTAGATACACTTTAAATATTTTTAGTAGGTCATGTTGGCTAACGTTTGGTTGACTTATCTGTTGCCTTAAAATTAAAGTGACACTAAACTCAGGAGTTAAACCTTAAGAATGCATTCAAAATACCTTCACTATTAACAAAACTGTATCTTTGTATATCACTCGGCTGTAGATCCTCAAATCATCTCTGAATTGGTGCTGACACTCTCCTTCCTTATGGGGGGTGGCTACTTGTTCCCCATGGTCCCTGGGTGTGGTGTAAAGTAGCCACCAGTCCAAGCTCGCTCCCGTGATGGCCTACAATCGCAATACAAACTAGTATATTAAAAGTGAGATTGTAGTCCATTACGGGAGTGAGCTTGGAGAGGTGACTACTCTACTCTACAACACACACAGGGACCATAGGGAACAAAAGTAGTCTCCCACCAGAAGGAAGGACAGTGTCAGCAGGAGATTCAGATTCAGAGATGATTTGAGAATATACAGCCGAGTGATACACAAATAAGATACATTTTGTTAATAGTTCAGGTACTTGAATGTATTTTCAAGATTAAACTCTGGAAATGTTAACTGATAAAGGCAGATACTCCTAGACTTCCTCTCCTAATTGTAGGTTTTCCCTCAAGTAACCTTCACAATGTAAATGGTTAATTTTATCAGGAAAGACAAGACCCTTACCTATTTATTTCTAAACTGTAAATGTCACATATAGCCTCAGGATATTTATATATTTAGATAGGTATATTATTTTCACATCCACAACCAGTAAATGTGCCTACAGACATAAGATTGTGTTCACCCGATCCATCCGATGTCAGTGAAATGCTAATACTCCCCTTCAGAAAATCAAAATACTAAATAACTTGGCCTTTAGGCAGGTGGGCAGCACTGAACATAGTCTACAGAATCCCTTTCTCCAGGAAAGAAAACTATTTCAGCTCCAGTGTTACGCTTTGTTTAAAGTAAACCTGTGCCCAGACTGTGCACATTAAGGGTCAGTACACACCATAGTGTTGCATTATAGGCAGGATACCCATGTGTTTAGCACACGATATTGCATAGAGCAATGCACCGTACCCTAGGTGTGCTGGTTCATTTGAATGGCACCCCAAAGCACCTCCCAGCGGGCTTGTGTTGCCGGACACCTTGCGGTATTGCAATACCATATGGTGTGGGGTGGTGAAAAAAGTATTGATGCGCTACTTTTGAAAACAACGCACGGTATTGCGCCACCAGGAGGTGCATTAGGGTTTCATTCAAATGAATGGCAATGCACCAGCGCACCTATCATACGGTGCATTGCGCTATGCAATAGTGTGTGCTAAACATATGGGTACCCTGCATATAGTGCAATGCTATGAGGTGAACTGGCCCTAAAGTATGTACATTTTCTGAAGCAGTATAAGCACTCATCCAAGCGGACCCTCACTCTTTGCTACTTCATCTAATATTGGTCCTTACCCCACCCTTGCATATTGCATATTCACAGGGCTGGGTGAAATTGTGTCAGTGCATTGAGGAAGTACATCCTATGCGCATCTTCAATAAGTAAGTTTACAAACTTCTAGATGGATATGGTTATTAGAATTGGGAAAGAACTTATGGAAATTCAATATAGAAATACATATTTATTTGTAGCTTTTGACTATAGACGCCCTTTATACACTTTAATAAAACTAGTGGTAATAATTAAAATATAAGTCCATTTTAAAACAGGATGTTCATCATTGTGTCTGTATGGTTTTCTGTGGATAATGGTGCAGATATAACATTTGTTTCATTGCTACAGTATGTATCAGAGACAGCAGAAAGAAAGAGTAAATGTGTGTCACAGCCACATAACTTTCTGACTTTCCAATGTGGATGCAAACTTTGGCTGTGCTGTTTGATAACCTGTCTACCATTATCTTGTTGACAGTTCGGAGGGGAGATGTACTCGCAGCTTGGAGTGGCATTCGTCCATTGGTCACAAATCCCAATTCTACAGACACGCAATCAATATCCCGCAATCACGTTGTTGATGTTGCCGAGAGTGGTCTTGTCACAATAGCAGGTAACATAATCTTCTGGCAAATAGACATTTTCTGCCAGTATTGACTCCTTATCCACAAAGGGGAACATTTTATTTTATTCCTCGCTTTTAGTTCTTTGCGTCTTTTAAAGCAGAGCTTCAGCTAGACCATTAAAAGAGAAAATACCACAATCCACTTTTTTGCTGCAATATACACCTTTAATCCAGGGTTTACCTCTGCAGTAGTTTTTTTTTATGCCACTAGATGGCCAGCATCATTCCACCCACTTCGTCTGCGCCCGGGTCATCCTGGCCCATCCCAACCCTGACTGCACAGGAAATGAGAAGCAGCACAGAGATGAGCTCATCTCTCTGTCACTTTGCTTTGTCCTTATATCAGCATTCTTCTTGTCGGCACATGAATTGACTGGCTGGTTGTGCTGCTTCTTCCTTTCACACTCTAGCCCAGTTGTACAGGAGCTGCAAGAAGCTGATATGAGGTCACATTCAGGTACTTACACTGCTTGCATTTAAAAGGAATATTTATGTATGATTAGAGATCTAAAATAATTTGTGTCTTATATATGCCTCAAATTCAGCTTTAAGCATAACTGTGTTGTATCTTACAATTCACAGAAAATAGGGGCCATGCTTTTTTGATTTCTGACTTTTTAAGTTTTCCTTTTTTTAAAGATGTTTCAGTTTCTGATGGATGCTGGATTAGTAAACCTCCTGGCATGTTCTTGTCTCTCTCAGGTCTCTCTTGCTGAGATCTTTACTTTTAGAGTGTATTTCCACTTTTTCAGTCAAAATTGAGAAAACCCCTTCTGACTGGTTTGCTGTGTTCCCATCCACACAGCATATCTAACAATAATTTAAATATAAAATACATTTCTTACCTTTTTAGATATGTCTATTTAGCAGGCCTTTGCATGCTCCTCCCCCTATTTCAGTAACTGGAAACTCTGTCCTAATAGAAATACTTAGGACAGACTGAGCTCCCCCTCATTAACATACAATGTCTTCAGGGCTTTAACCATTTGTTAGGACAGACAGTCGTGTTCATCTAGTATACAAGTGATAATAAAATCTGCCAGCGCATTACAGACAAGGTTAGTTATTTGGAACAAAACTCCCCCAACCCCCCAGACAGATCTAAGCAGGATTTTTTTTAGTTCTGGAATTTGCAGAAAGAACATCTGTTATGCAATGTGAATGGGAGCATATAACAAATATAAAGCAGGTGTTATGCCAATCTGGCTGCAAAAATGGAAATGCACTGGGTCTGCACATACATATACACTGAGTGGCCAGATTATTATGACCACCCCATCAGTACTTCGTTGGGCCACGAGATGACTCCACGAGATTACTTTGTTGGGCCGCCTCGTGACTCCACGAGATGTTGAAAGGTGATGCGAGGAATCTGACACTGCACTGTTGCTCTTCTGTTGTCTTGTACCAGTCTTGCCACTCTACGTTCTGCCCTAACATTGACTAGTCGCTGACGGCCACAATTCGCACGTTCAGACCCAGATTTTCGGCTGACAGTCCAGTCTTTAAACACTTTAACAACAGCTGCTCTTGAACATTTAACCAATTCTGCTGTTTTTCTGATACTCGCTCCATGGCTCCGAGCACCAACAATCGTCCCACGTTCAAAGGCTGTTAAATCACATTGTTTACCCATATCTTCAGAAAAAAATCACTTCTACTGTCGTGGTAAACAACCTACTTTGCCTACAAACATCAGGTGGTCATAATAATCTGGCCACTCAGTGTATTGTAGATGGAGCATGAGGGGCCTTTAAAAAAAAAAATAACTTATAGGTCTAATGACCCTTTAAATAAAATCTCTCACGTTGAGGAATTGCCACAACACAAGGAATGTTTTGAAAAGCAGCATTTCACTTTCTGTCTGGTTAAGCCCTTGTCAGTGTAGTCCCAGATATCAGTACAAACCTGACTAATCCTTCCCCACTGCATCAGTGTATCCAAAATTAGAAGAACAATTTTTAGGTTAACATAAACAGAATTATTTTTTATTCTTTTTTTATCTGACTCCAGTAAACGGCCAGCTGATTTGTTGGTATGGGTTTGTCCACTTTGATTATCAACATTTACCTCTTCACTGCCGCTTCATTTGCAGAGATTTATTTTATCAGCTCAAGCAGGTGCCAATCATCTTATTTGTATGGATACATTCAAAATAATTCACTGTAGCTTAGCTCTTCCCCTTCCACTTCTGAAATGTTTAGGTTTTCATTTCACTCCTGTAACATCCTTTTCAGTATGCAATCTGTGAAACAAACATTCTTGCTTTAAATATTAATAGGAGGAAAATGGACGACGTACCGCTCCATGGCGCAGGACACATTGGATGCTGCAATCAGAGCACACAACCTTAAGGCTGGACCGTGCAGGACAGTGGGGCTTTTCCTTGAAGGGGGAAAGGACTGGTCACCCACCCTTTACATCCGTCTGGTGCAGGATTACGGCTTAGAGAGCGAGGTATCATTCCATTGTAATGCAGTGAAAGTTCCCTGTATGTTTGTATTTGCCTTCTGAGGTGGAAGCATGTGAATCCACATGTGGTAAACATGACACTTTTTTAATGCTAGTAAGAGTTATTCTTTAAGGGAAACCTTAATCCTTTCCAGAGAGAACCATAAATGCTGCCATTGTTGACGTTTGTATTTTTAAATGCTACCGTGTTTCCCCGAAAATAAGACAGTGTCTTATTTTTTTTACTGGCTATCATGCTGATCTGAATCTCTAACCCAGAATACGTATTATGACCTTCATTTTTTTATTTCCTGATTCACATACTTGTTCTGAATTTCCTGATTTGCATACTTGTTCTGTTTCGTTGGTTAAGAGAGTATAGAGGCTAGTATGCCGGCATAATAGCCAGGTAACTGGTTATCTGAAGATATCCAGAAGACTGGCAACAATGACAAGGCTTACTTAAAGGAAACCTGTAATGAGAGAAATGCATGGGACCTTATTGCTGAAACCCTTTAGAGCAGGGATGTCCAAACTACGGCCCTCCAGCTGTGGTGGAACTACGAATCCCATGAGGCTTTGCAAGATTCTCACAGCCACAGACATGACTCCAGGAGAGAGATGCTTCATGGGATTTGTAGTTTCACGACAGCTGGAGGGCCGGAGTTTGGACATGCCTGTTTTAGAGAATGCTATTTACCTGGCTGTCTGACTTCAGTACTTTCCGAGGCACATATCTGATGACAGTTTGCATATCTTTTCTGGGTCTGTGACTCATAAAGTACTGAAGCTATTGGATCAGAATGAGAGCCTAGCAACTAGCATTTTCAAAATAAGAGGTCAGCGAGCTCTTTATTTTTGCATTACTGTCAACTAGGGGTTTTGGACCGAATTGGAGCTCCTCCAAATCCGGAAAAAAGGCGGGTTAGTGTCATTAACCAAATATGGCCACGTGGCCATATAAGGTCAATGATGTCACCAGCATCCCGCCCCTTTGTTTACTTGCAGCTGGGGGACAGGTAATGCTTCGGGCACAGCTGATTGTGGCAGCGCTGTCAGCTTCTTTCCAGGTTTAGATGATGGTTCAAACCCCACCTCACCACTACTGGCAACCTTGTGTATCAAGGAATATCACACACCAGGATGCCACAATATTTCTTATTATTAAATAATGGGCAGCAGGATACAAATCACTGGAAATCCAGTCCTAGACATTTGTCACTTAAACAAGTTTCTCTATTAGAAGATTTCCCCTCCGTGTTCACCTTTCACTTACCGTTGTGTCTTTGGGACAGGAAGTGATGATAAATCTCCTTTATTGGACACAGGCAGGAAAAAAAAAACCTGACAGGTTTTCTAAACTTTCCCTTTTCTCCAAAACTAAAGCTGGCTTTATATACACTTTAAGGAATCTATAAAGCCACGATATCCTCTGAATTCTTAAGGTATTTATATATCATCTTTCAAAACTCCGAAACAATACCGATGTAGTGAAGTTTGTCTGCACGCTCTAACACCAGGAGTTAGTCACGCATCAACGAACTGTATGTAATGCAAAACAATTCATCCACAGCTCATTTAGTGCCCAAAGTCATTTTTCGAAGGTTTGATATGTTTTAATTATTTGACAAACGCCATCTACTCAGAAGAGCCAGCTTACAGAAATTAGCATTCGGATCTCTTTTCCTACCCCCCCCCCTTTTTCTGCGCTGTCCATGACGGTCCCATCTCCATGACATCTAATTCCAACAATACATTCGTTAAATGTGATCACAGTTGCAAAAAGTAGTTGACGCGTCATTAGTCAAAGTTACATTGATACATGCATATAGTAGTGTAAGTGCTGGCCTAAGCGTTCACAACACAAGTCATCTCCTCCCACACAATCAAGATTTAATACCCTCTTCAGTCTGTTTGATAAAAGCTTTGGGAATCTGACATAAGTAGCATGCTTTTTTTTTTCCTCTCTTCCCCTGCTGTGCTCCAGGGAGCAGAAGGAGGAGAAGATGGAGTGTGAAGTGCATAGTAAATTGTTGATGCTGTCCCACAGGTTGCCCAGCATCTAGCTGCCACCTACGGTGACAAGGCGTTTGAGGTGGCGAGAATGGCTAAGGTTACAGGGAAGAGATGGCCGATCGTCGGGAAGAGGCTGGTGTCTGAATTTCCCTACATCGAAGCTGAGGTTTGTGCAATACTTCTTCAGTACTTTTGCCGTTTGTACAAAAATAGGTCATGATGTGGATTGAAGCAAATGTCAGCCCTAACTGAACCTCAATCAGTTTGTCTGTTTATCATAAACAATTGCCATTTTTTTTGTTCTAAAAAAATACTTGCTTTCACCAATTTTGTTTTTTGTATCCTTTGTTGCATCTTGCTGCAGCTGTCTGTCTACATGCACTCCAGGGATGGCTGCATGACATTTCTTAGGGTAGACATCCAAATGGTTACTACATAAAATATGATGAAATGGTCACTTGTAGTCACCATCAAAAACCCATATAACAGGGTGACAACAGGAGCTCAGCTGAGAGACAGAGGCAAAATGTTGTCGCCCTTTAACAGGAAGTGCTTCCACAAGGACCTTCATGGCAAGATCACCAAATAATATATTAATAAAAGTTCTACTTTAATAGGATAAACCCATAGTCAGGGCTTGAAAAACCCGCTAGTTCTGTGACGAGAGGACGCTGGAGCCGGACGAGTAGCTTTGCATTCAAGCAATTGGGCGTCTCTAGAGACGTCCGATCGTTTGTATTAGCAGCAGCTGTCACTGCCGTTGCCGGTCCCGAGATCCGCTGTGCCTGGTGCACGGCTGCTCTGTCACAGGAGATCAAAGGAAGATTGGTACACGATTTCCCTCTGATCTCCTCTCCAGTCCCCGAATGCAAGGAGTGATGTATATTACATCACTTCTGCAGTCTGCTGTCATTCTCCAGCTTCAGAAGGTGGGGAGAAGCTGGTGAAGCAGATCTCTGCTTCATCAGCTTCTCTGGGGGTCCCTAGGTGACATTAGGGATCTTGGAGACCCCTAATGTCTCCATAAAGTGGACCTGTCACTGCAAATTGGCTATCACATAGGGGGCTTGTTATCCGCCATGTGATAGCAATAAAGTTAGGTGTAAAAAAAGAGTAATAAAAAAATAAAACAAGCATAAAAAACTGAAAATTTAATCATACTTACCGTAATTTTCTTTTCCTGGTTATACTCCATGGCAGCGCTGACAAATGGGTTTAGATCCAATTACCCCTAATTAAAGAATAATAATTTTTAAAAAACACTACATTTTTTTTAAAGTCCCGCGCCCCCCACATACACACGCAAACATGTGTGTTAAAACGACGATTGTGCCACACATGTTACATATCACCGCGAACGTCGGAGTGAGAGCAATAATTTTATGGCCATCAATCACTGATGACACTAAACTGATGAGCGGTAAAAGCGTTTAAAGTGCCGCCTATGGCCAATTTTCAGTGTGGTTTTAAGGCTTGACATTTTTGGTGTCTATTTACCCGACGTGCCCCCGACTTTTATGCTTTACCAAAAATATGGGTAAGAATAAATGTCTTATAACATAACGTAGGGAAAATATTTTTTTTTTCCCCGAAATTTATGGTACTTTTTTCATTATATAGTAAAAAAAAAAACACCCCCGTGGTGATTATATACCTCCAAAAGAAAGCTCTATCTGTCCCTAAAATAGCTTTACATAAATTGCAAGGCTATAGTCCGGCCATGCTGACTGACCATGCCCATAGTGAATAGCCAGAAACCTCTTAGTTCAGTCTTTTATGAGCTAAGAAAACACTTTACAATGAAATAACTCGGCTTAGTGAATGAAGTCAACTTAGGATGATTTCAATGAACCAATCATGTGCAAGCTAAAACACTTATTTTAATTTTCCTTGCCCATGATTTAGTATTCTTTGCAAAGTGAATTTTTATGTCATTTCCCCTCATTCACTATGCTAAGTAAAAAGTCATTTTGCAGAGTAAAAATACTCTACTCCTTTAGTAAATCGACCATAATTACCTAATGAGAAAGGAAATTCTAACGTTTCCATACAGAAACAAGCAAAAAAAGTTGCAATTGTCTACTAATTCCCAAATTAGCGGCAGTTTACAAAGCCGCAGGAGTTCTTCTGCATGCGGTATTATATTTTATGAACATTTTCGCATCAAAGCAAATTCAGTTCCCAAAAATAAATATTGCATTAATGGGAAATAATTTTTCAGCATGAAATACATTTTATGAAAGTCTATATTTCCCATAAATTGATGTTTTCTCTTATTTTACTGCAACCTCAAATGGCTCCTCCTACTACTGTTAACAGCCAATAACTAGCTACATTTTGGAGCCCACGCGATAATCTTTGTAAGTTTGTATTTTTATACCAACAAAAATCAATACCACGTGTGATAGTTTTCAGCAGATTCGTACACTTTTGGCCCCATTCACATTGGTGTGTTACAATAATGAGAATTATACCGTGGTGTGTGCAGTTTGCACCAGGTCTGCATTTGGGTCTCACTAGAGCTGCGTTTGGGTCTCACTAGAGCTGCGTTTGGGTCTCACTAGAGCTGCGTTTGGGTCTCACCAGGGATGCATGCAGATCTCCCCTGGGCTGCGTTTGGATCTCACCAGGGATCCGTACAGATCTCACCAGGGATCCGTACAGATCTCACCAGGGCTGCGCTTGGGTCTCACCAGGGATGCATGCACGTCTCACCAGGGATGCATTTGGGTATCACCAGGGCTGCATGCAGATATCACCAGGGCTGCATTTGGGTCTCACCAGGGCTGCATGCAGATCTCACCAGGGCTGGTTTTGAGTCTCAGCAGGGTTACGTTTGGGTCTCAGCAGGGCTGCGTGCAAACCTTAACAATTCTGCTTGTGGTTCTTTCCAGGGCTCTGCATGCTGGGCTTTCCAGGGCTGCGTTTGGGTCTCGCCGGGGCTGCGTTTGGGTCTCACCGGGGCTGCTTGTGGTTCTCCCCAGGGCTCTGCATGAGGCTGCTGGGCTCTCCAGAGCTGAACGGGTGGGATCCGCGCTCGTGCCGGGCTCCAGGGCTGTGCTGGTGGGTGTGGGGCTGTCCTCTGCTGTGCGGAGGAGAAGGCAGTGTGCATCTGGACAGGCACTATCAAAAACAGCTGCCTGAGGACCCCAGCACGCTCAGGACCTCAGGCAGCTGAACTTCCTGAAAAATGTAAAGGGCCATTATTGGCCTTTTAGTATCCAAGTAGTCCTGAAAATGCCCTGTATCGACACTGATACTAGTATCGGTATCGGGACAGCCCTAATAAATTGATCCCAAAAACTGAAAACATCAATTTGCAAATAAAGCGAGAAATGAACAAAATGGCATGCCTTAGACTTTTGGGAAATGTGGCTTTTGTGGGACAAGGAGTATTGCAGAGGTTACATACAGGTTTTGGATAAATGCTGCCTGTGCTCAGTTTAAATCTGTGTCTTCTAGTGCCCAACAGTCACCCTGCTGCAAGAATGTACTCCTTATACTTCTTAGCACTTGAGAGAGCATGTTACCGTATATACTCGAGTATAAGCCGTCCCGAATATAAGCCGAGGTACCTAATTTTAGCCAAAAAAACTGGGAAATATTACAGGTATTTATTTAGCACCAACAAAGTATGCAGCGCTTTACATACTGTACATTCACATCAATTCCTGCCTTCAAGGAGCTTACAGTATAAGGTCCCTATCTCACATACTTGCATACACGCACACACATACTAGGGATAGGGGCCAAATAGCTTACCAACATGTCTTTGGAGTGTAGGAGGATACCAGAGTACCTGAAGGAAACCCACACAAGCACAGGGAGAATATTCAAACTCCATACAGATAGTGTCCTGGCCGAGATTCAAGCCAAGAAACCCAGTGCTGCAAGGCAGAATGAAACCACAGTCCAGAAGTTCCTGTATCCTAGATTGCAATGGACATTCACATCCATGAGAAAGGATGATATATGGAACAGGAGGGAAGTACATCTGAAAGACATAGTGGCCACCACCTAGATAAGGTGCACAAGTATTCTTTGAAGCCTCCAGTTTGAATTGTGAAGAATGGCTGGATGATAGGTGGTATTTTGATTGGGCAATATGACATGGCATATGCCAAATGTTTTTCTTTTTGTAAATTAGCCCAATGCTGTTCTAATTTATTGGGGTTTCTGTCACAGGTGAAATATGCATTAAAGGAGTATGCCTGCTCTGCCATTGATGTCATCTCACGACGCACACGCTTGGCTTTCCTTAACGTCCAGGCTGCAGAAGAAGCTCTGCCACGCATTGTGGAGATTATGGGAAAAGAATTAAACTGGAAGGAACAAATGAAAAAGGTAATGATTTATTGTTTGTGTGTAAGAGAGGATATTTTGGTCAGAGATGCCAGCTTGCTCACATACAGGCAAGGCATAAACACTGGAGCAGATTAACATATTGGGTGATCAGAAAAATTTGTATCCTGCATCATTTGGAGCATTGATTTATTTCTATTAGGAGAGAATTGTGTGAATCTATGAGTTACTTAGCCCTTTTACCTGATTTTATTTTTAATATCACCGTTGCCAAACTCAACCTGAATTTCAGAAATCCTCTAGCTGGGACTGTATCCTCCTACTGGCCACTCTGTGAAGTGCAGCTTTCTACCTCAGCAGTGTTTCAGATAGTAAGGCGGAGGGTGAATCTTTTTTATTATTATTGTGGTTGTACCTAATTAATCTGCAGCACCGATAAGCATAATTAAAACACAGGGGAGACTCCCATGAATAGAATTTAGTCTGATCATGGATCTGCATGTTCGAGAGTGGACATACAGACCATTGACCATACATTTGTGGACATCTGACCATCACACCTATGTGAGCTTTTTGAATATACCATTACACGACCATGGGCATTAACATAGCAGTGTGCCCCTTCTCTTCTTTGTGGCTCTACTCTTCTAGGTAGGCTTTCCATAAGATTTTGGAGTTTGTCTGTTGGAATTTGGGTCCATTGAGTCAAAAGAGCAATTGATGTTGGATGAGAAGGCCTAGCTCGCAATTAACATTCCAGTTCCTTCAAAAGACAATAGGCTTGAGGTCAGTGGAGATCCTCCACACCAAACTCTTCAAACCACAGGCACAGTCATGCAGGATGTGGAAGGTGTATTGCACACACACACACACACACACACACACACACACACACACACACACACACACACACATACTGTATATATATA